CGTAGAGGATCCGTACGATCAGTACGAGATGTTGTCTTTGATGAAAATGTGTTCTTCAACGCTCGAGAGCTAGAGAAGGAGTCTATCAGTGACATCCTAGAGTCTATGCCATGGGTTGTTGAAGAAAATGAGGATATCGACCACGGCACCTTTGCCTCCGGAATAAACCTGGATATTCCTCAACCAGTCAACGCGGGCTCGCAGGTGACGGAGCCACAGAGCTTGGATACGCCTTCCCAGGAGAAAGAAGCTACTTCGCAACTAGTGGAGACTCAACAAATGATGTCACCGTCACCCACGCCTCCCGTTCAGCCAGCGCAAGCCTCAGAGCCTCGTACGGCACCTAGAGACATCGTGGGAGATATCTCATCTCGCAACATTGTGTCTGGCTCACGCAGGCGAAGTTCCAGAGACACTAGTAATCTAGCCTTCTCAGTGGACGACGACGAAGAGGGTGTACTCGCTGCCTTCGCAACTGGCCTCAACGGATCCTACTCACACACGAGAACACACCGCGATGATCTACCCCCAGAGCCTCAATCTTGGAGAGAGATGTTGAATCACCCGTTTAACGAAGGCTTCCTAGCAGCTGCTGGACTTGAGGTCAAAACCATCGAACGGAAGGGCACTTTTGAGGTTATACGGCGTCCGAACGACCGTGGCGTGCAGGTCCTCCCATTGAAGTGGGTCTTCAACTATAAATTCGATAGTGACGGATATCTCGTGAAATTAAAGGCGAGAATCTGTGTGCGAGGAGACCTCCAGAAACTCTCTACAGAAGAGAAGTATTCAGCTACACTCGCCGCACGGACGGCCCGCGCCGTCCTCGCCTTGGTCCCTGCGTTTGACCTTGATACACATCAATTTGATGCTGTCAACGCCTTCCTAAATAGCTTGCTAGACGAAACGGTGATAACAGAGATGCCCGAGGGTTTTAGGCAGTCTGGCTATTGCTGGAAGCTACTGAGAGCTCTCTATGGCCTACGGAAATCTCCGAGGCTCTGGCAGCGCGAGGCCTCAAGGATCTTGACCCAACTAGGTCTCAAAGTCGTTCAAGAAGACCTCTGTCTCTTCGCAGCAGACGGTATCATTGTGTTCTTCTATGTAGACGACATAATTGTCGTCAATCACCCATCTCAGCGCCAGCGCGCGGCTGAGATCAGAGAAAAGCTTAACACCGCATGGGAATTGAGACACATGGGTGAAGCTTCATGGTTCCTTGGGATTCGTATAGTCCGTGATAGACAGCAGATGGCCCTCTGGCTCTGTCAGGACTCATACATCTCCTCTATGGCAAGCAGATATCACCTTACCACCCATCGTCGCTTTGATACACCCCTTGCGCCAGCTACATTAAAGCCGTATACTGGGCAAGCCACAAGTGAACGGATTAAGGAGTATCAGGAGAAGGTCGGCTCCGCTCAATATGCAACCACCATCACACGGCCAGATGCAGCCAAAGCAACCTCCACATTAGCTCAATTCCTCACGAATCCGGGTCCGGACCATCTAGAAGCCATCAACCGCGTGATATCATACCTCTATCACACACGCTTCCACGCCCTCACTTATCGCCCACGCCAATCCGAGGAGGATGAAGCCGTTACTCTCTTTAGTGATGCCTCGTTCGCCGATAACCCTGACCGGAAGAGCTCGGAGGGATATATCTGCAAGATCTTTGGAGGACCTGTTGACTGGAGAGCTGGCAAACAGCGCACGGTGACTACTAGCACAACCGAAGCGGAGCTGCTAGCGATCTCTGAGGCTGCGAGGACTATGAGCATGTGGAAACGCCTCTTTGAGGCTGTTCGCTTTGATCCAAAGCACGAGCTTGCTATCCGATGTGATAATCAACAGACAATTCGGCTTCTCACCAAGGAAGCTCCTCAGCTGCGGACGAAGCTACGTCATGTTGATATACACCACCTCTGGCTTCGTCAGGAGGTCCAGGCAGGCAGGATTCTCATCAAATGGACTGAGACGAAGGGTATGGCTGCGGACGGACTCACCAAGCTATTGCCACGTCAGAAGCATGCAGAATTCGTTCAAATGATGGGCATTGAGGATATTGGAAATCTGCTAGATTAACAAGAAGAGGTTGGAATTGTGCGAACGCTGGGGGGTGTGACAAACTAAAGGAGCGGTCAAATACCGCTATGGCCTTTTGGGATAGGCTTGTTCATCGTTCACCCAATTTCCCCTAGTATTTGTATGGTATTCGGGCTAAATTCGGATACGGTGTCATAACACGCCAGAGCACGGACAGTAGACTCCAGAGATCGCTGAACCGATCTACACACCTTCAATCAATCATCAGATTCTATTGGACATGTGCAGTACTAGCCAGTACATTAATTCCTCATCCTGACAGTATCACCAACCCCAAGTTTCTCCGTATCTGTGATCTAGAGCAACTGGAATGGAGGATGTATCTAGGATGAGCAGGAATACAACCATATGAAAGAATCGAATGCCCAGAATCTCTGCTGACAACCGCTTTGTTCCTCAAACAGCTCTCAAGGCTGACGACATCTCCAAGCGCGGCAAGGAGAAGGCTCTGCAAGATCACAAGACCGGACTGCTGTGGGTTTTTATTATCTTTTCGTATCTGTCGTGCACTGGACGATGAGAACGCCAAGAGACCGTGCTTATCTCCCGAGAGAGATCATTCTCCTCACGGCGGAGAATCTCAACCCTCGTGACCAACTATCACTCTTACACGCCGTTCCTGACCTCGTACGAGTCTTGACATTCCGACACACTTCTATTCAGGATGAAAAAGGGAACACAGTCTTACACCTTCTCGCAAAAGAAGCCGAGGGCAGACTGAAAGAGCTGCTACTAGCGAAGAATAGTACTCAGGTGGACCCGAAGAACAAGAATGGTCGAACACCACTATCGTACGCAGCTGGGTGCGGATATGAAGAAGTGGTGAAGCTACTGGTTGAGCGAGATGAGGTTAAGGTGGACTTGAAGGATGACGATGGTCGGACCCCACTGTCGCATGCTGCTGAGGGTGGATATAGGGAAGTGGTGAAGCTGCTACTGTGGCGGGGTGATGTGGAGGCGGACTCAAGGAATAGCTATGGTCTGACACCGCTGTCACTGGCAGCACTTTGTGGTCATGAAGAAGTGGTGAAGCTACTGGTTGAGCGAAGTGATGTTAAGGCGAACTCGGAGGATAACGATGGTCGGACCCCACTGGCGCTTGCTGCTGAGGGTGGATATAGAGAAATGGTGAAGCTGCTACTGTGGCGGGGTGATGTGGAGGCGGACTCAAGGGATAGCTATGGTCTGACACCGCTGTCTCTGGCAGCCCTCTGTGGTCATGAAGAAGTGGTGAAGCTACTGGTTAAGCGAAATGATGTTAAGGCGGACTCGGAGGATAACGAAGGTCGGACGCCACTGTCGCATGCTGCTGAGGGTGGACATGCAGAAGTGGTGAAGCTACTGGTTGAGCGAAATGATGTTAAGGCGGACTTGGAGGATAACGAAGGTCGGACGCCACTGTCGCATGCTGCTGAGGGTGGACATGCAGAAGCGGTGAAGCTACTGGTTGAGCGAGATGATGTTAAGGCGGACTTGAAGGATGAAGATGGTTGGACGCCACTGTCGCATGCTGCTGAGGGTGGACATGCAGAAGTGGTGAAGCTACTGGTTGAGCGAAATGATGTTAAGGCGGACTTGGAGGATAACGAAGGTCGGACGCCACTGTCGCATGCTGCTGAGGGTGGACATGCAGAAGCGGTGAAGCTACTGGTTGAGCGAGATGATGTTAAGGCGGACTTGAAGGATGAAGATGGTTGGACGCCACTGTCGCATGCTGCTGAGGGTGGATATAGAGAAGTGGTGAAGCTGCTACTGTGGCGGGATGATGTGGAGGCAGACTCGAAGGATAGTTACGGTCTGATGCCGCTGTTACTGGCAGCTGTGTGTGGACATGAAGAAGTGGTGAAGCTACTGGTTGAGCGAAATGATGTTAGAGCGGACTTGAAGGATGAGTACGGCCTGACACCACTATCATTGGTACGGACAGAAGCGGTGCTAGAGCTTCTTAATTCCCCGTCGTAAATAGCCAGCTAAATTCAAGCAGATATACGAGAGGATGGACAGGCTCAAGAACAGCAGGAGATGATACCTGACGTTTCACAAGAGACAGCTTTGGCAATAAAGCCCCTAATATATCCTGTTATCAGACTGGTCTCCCATTATACAGCCAGAGACGGTACAAAGAGGTAGAGACGATTTTTTGACTAGTTCTTCACGGGGCAAGGGAAAGTGCTTGGCGGCCATCATGGAGGGACACATTGTACTCCAGAACGTACATGGACAAGGCCTCTAGGCAGACCGTTTCTTGAAAAGTCTTGCGGCTCCTTTAATACTAATTAGTAACAACCGTTCATAGTGGGTTAGTCCATCAGAATTTCCACACTATGTTCGTGTATCCCATCTAAATGTTGGCCTCATTGCACACTAACCAGCCCCCTGCAGCCTATTCAGGCTTCATTCGGGAATTCGGGAACGGTCACGAATGATGAGCGCCTCCTAGTGTTCGGACATCCCTATCATTGCTCGCAATGGGGAATTGGTGGCAACCCTAGACCGGGGACTGAGTAATATCTCAGCATAGTCGATGCTGGTTCGTCTCAGCTTGACCTGTAGCACTGCGTGAGAGAACAGCTGCCTGCCAAAGCGAATTACGGCAGCTTGCGGAGGTGCCTTAGATGTCGTGACCTCTAACCCCTCCACGTTAATTTGCTAGCCTCCTGGCTCAGATTGGCCCCCGTCGCCGTCAGGTCCAAGAGCCTCTCAACTCGACACTAATCTGTGAGCCCTTGTCGGAGCTTCTCGTTCATACAGTCTCCTCCTCCCATGTCTCATGCGATGCATACACCCTTCATTCCTGCGGCTTCCCACATTCATCCCGGCCAGACTTTCCGAAGTTGATATGCCTAGATTACGAGGTGCGGAGCTATGCAGAAAAAAAGATTGGGGTCCCCATGGTTAGTAGCGTAAGCGCGGCTCCTTCTCCTCCTCTTTTCCCCTAACACCCTCTCCCTGCTCCTCTCAATCAGTTCTACAAAATGGGAACGTTTCCCCTAGCGACCTGCTAAGTATCAATTAAAGCTGCCGCGTGTCGGTGATCAAGATGCTGTCCCTTCACTCCGCGCTAGCTTCCACCAAGCCCCTCCGATTGCTCTCCGCACGCCGTGTCGACTCCCCTGCGCCAGGGCCCACCATACTCGCGCGCCGCCGGCCCTCTCCTGAGCTCGACCCGGAGCAACGTCGTCCATCTGCGGAGCAACATTGGTTCCAAGCGCGAGGCCCAGCAGTACCTGTCCCACTTCACCTCCGTTTTCTCCCAGCAGTTCGCCGTTGTCAAGGTCAGCGGTGCGATTATCACCGAGCACCTCCAGACCCTGTCCTCGGCCCTCGCTTTCCTGAACCATGTCGGTCTTTACCCGATCGTCGTCCACGGTGCTGGTCCGCAGCTCAATCGCATGATGGAAGCCGCCGGTGTTGAGCCCCAATTTGAAGGTCCAGGTCACGGATGGCAAGACTCTGTCGCTGGCGCGCAAGCTCGTTCTGGAGGAGAACATAAAGTTGGTCGAGGAGCTGGAGCGTATGGGTGTCCGTGCTCGGCCTATCGCCGCTGGTGTGTTTTTGGCCGATTATCTGGACAAGCGCAAGTATAACCTGGTGGGTAAGATCAAGGGCGTGAAGAAAAACCCTAGTGAGTCGGCCATTGCGGCTGGCTGTCTGCCCATCCTGACTCCCATGGCCGAGAACCCCCGATGGCCAGATGCTCAGTGTCAATACCGATGTGGCTGCTGGTGAGCTAGCCCGCGCTCTGCAACCATTGAAGATCGTTTACCTCACTGAGAAGGGTGATCTGTTCAATGGCGATACCAGCGAGAATATCTCCGCCATCAATCTTGACGAGGAGTATTGCCACCTGATGACTCAATGGTGGGTCCGTCACGGAACTCGACTGAAGATCAAGGAGAGCAAGAAGTTGCTGAGCGACCTACCGCGCTCGTCCAGCGTGGCCATCATCCACCCTGCCGATCTTCTGAATGGGCTGTTCACCGACTCCGGTGCCGGTACACGGATTCGCCGAGGCAACAAGACCGACGTCCAGGCTTCTCTGTCCGTGTTCGGCGACCTCGAGGGGCTGAAGGATGAGATAATCCGTGACCGTGAGGGTCTCGATGCTCGTGCCGTTGTTGACAGCTACGCCGAGGACTTAGAGGAGTGTGACTTCAAGATCTACTACGATAACGCCATGGACGCTCTCGCTGTTGTCCCCCCCCAAAAACCCCCCTCAGGAGCGCTCTTCGATGGCCCACCTGGCTGCATTCACCATCACCAAGTCAAGCTGGTTGGCCAGCGTGGACGACAACTTGTTTATTACCCTCAAGAAGGACTTCCCCAAGCTGGCCTGGCGAAAACCTGACCTGGTACTTCCACAAGGCCAATGGTAGCCTCAGCCGCGACGGCGAGGTTCTATTCTGGTATGGTGCCGAGAATGGCGATGAGGTCAAGCAGCTTGTCCAGAAATCCACCCAGCACGGCAGCCGGATGTTCGGCAACTCCAACTTGGAGCACCGCCTCCACCGGGCTCACGAGGCCGCCATGAGGGGAGCTGTGGGGCCACGCGGGAGAAGGAGCGTGGGGGATCGGACCATTCGAAAATATTGCCGCACATGGCTTTGGGTGCGAACTACTGCTGGAGCGCGGAGCCAATGTCAACGCCGAGGGTGGCGACTACGGAAACACCCTCACAGGCCGCGTGTAACATCGGACACGATCAGATTGTGCACTGCTGCTCAAGGGCGGAGCCGATGTCAATGCTCGGGGTGGCGACTATGGAAACGCTTAGTCGTTGTCGCGGCTCCATTGCACTCTTGGCCCCTTTTTGGCCTGTCGCTTGAACTGAATTTATTTAGTAAAGTACAACGTAGTTGACGCGTGATATTACTAGTAAAAACACGAAGCTGGCCCTACGTTCCCTGCCATGAAAAGGTAGTGTGCATCCACGCGCATCTTTTTGCGGGCTAATTTCTCGCATCCCCGACAGTACAATCAAAGGGCAGATATTTAGTGCGTTCGCGCTAACGCTCCACAGAGTCCGGCATAAGAAGTAGTCCTCAATCTTTTGAGGTATGGGTTCTCGTCCCGACGCAGCTGTTTAGTAAGAACCTTGCTCTGTTCCAGATCCTAAGTTGCCTCTTACTATTCTATATAATGCCAGATTCTCGGCAGGCCACTGCTGATACTTTCCTTACCCCTTCTGGACCTTATTGATTCACTGTTGATTCAGGAAAGCAAAAGTTCGAACATGGCAAAGGATCCCAAACCTCCTCGGAGTAACGCAGACCTCAGTTCTCACGGAGTACAACGGCGTGCTGCACCGTCATCCTATTCCGTTTGTTCTACTGGTTCAAAGTCTAATGATAGACGAAAGTCATGCAGACCAGAGACGAACTCACACAGAGAGTCGGTACGCCAATGGATACCTTTTGGGTCGTCCTGCAATATGACCAGAACAGCCCCGGCGGCACCCCTTTTCTTCGAATGTACTGTTTACTAACCTTGCTAGACATACTCAATTACGAAGCCGAAAAGAAGAAATGACAGAGCGACGCATAGAAAGTGTCTCCTGGTGATGAGCAATATTGAGGAGGAGTTTCAAGAGGTGCTTGAGGAGAGAGATGGAGAGAACCACGGTCTTTCTCAGTTGCTGGACCAGATCAAAGCCGAGAAAGCGCAAAAGAGTTCGGAATTGCAAATCGCTGTCACGGCAAGGGATACTGCCTTAGCCGAGCAGCAGAAGCTCCAGCGTGAGATTTGCCAATTGCAGCAGCAGGTGGAATCCACGAACACCGCTCTGCAAGATCAGGTCCCGTGGAATGATATACAGCTGGTGTTGGATCAGGCACACGCAGAGCTGGTTTCTGCGACCACTAGATTCTGGAGCACGATCGACGCCTTCCAGAACAGACGACTGGCATCCTATTTGCCAGGCTCCGGAATGATCCAGGCAGAATGGCCCGATCAGGGCGGCGCGGGTACGCTTGGCCACGATATGCTCCCCAGCATCCCCCAATCGAACAATGACAATGTCCCGTTTGGTACTCAACATGAACTACCTACCACCAACTGAGCTGAGCCCTTCGTCTCACAATTGGGGTGCGTCGATCTGGCTAGATCCTAATGATGGAGTGAGCTAGCTTCTATGTATGGAAAGGACCGAAACTACTACTAGTCATGTCGTTCCTGCAAACGACTGGCTTTGTAATGTAGCCGACGCGCAGATAGTTCATGAAGAAGCATTTCGCCACATTCTTACTATACATGTACCGTGCCAAACTGTGTGTATTGTCAATTCTGTTAATTGCCCTGAAGGGGAGGGCTATGTGCTTTTGTCTAATAGATCCGAGCACGGGCGGCTCGAGGCAGTATTCGGTGCAGGTTAGCGGCAGAGTCCACCGCAATCTCCATGGTCGATTTACTATGCCATAGATAAATGTAAGGGTAGATTGGACTCATACTTATGGCGAGAGAGCGGTAGAGTATTCGACATCACACCGCTCCAGGCCGAGACACCCGGATACGCTCTGGATCAGAGAAAAGGCCCTGCCACGCTGGCCTGTGGATTCGTTACACACGTGGGCTCCCATGCCGTAAAGGAAACGCATTTTCAATGGTCCGATCCGAATGTTGCTAATATCTGTGCTATGAGTTTCGTGGAGAAGCCCACGCTTTCTTGCGCATTATGATCATTATTTCTTCTCAGCGTTCAGCCAAACCTTGCCCTAGTATTCTGGTCCAATACAATCACAAATAGCAGTTTCTCGTTGAGTGAGATATCGCAAGTCGATAGATGTGGCACTAATATGCGAGTATCAAATGCTAAGGATCGTACTTCAATAGCCGCAACCAATCTTTGATCATTTGTTACATGTGTGCGATTCTTGAGCACTACTGTAGTTTTAGCTTTCTTGAAAATTTCCTCACTTATACAGACCGAGTACAAGCATAGTGGGCCAGGCAATACAAATCAGCTGCAATAATGGAACTAATCAAATATTTAATCTACTCAGCAACATATAGTGGCTCGCGACTATAGCCCGTCGGTTCAGGAGAGCCATCTCGGCACAGTTCATATACCAGTCATATTTTCCGTCTGCACAGCTAAGGGAAGCATAGATAAAACACGAAGAACCCAATGCAACAACAAAAGATATATCGCTCGCCATGGCGTCAGCTTGGCATTGAGTCAATCGAGCCTTGTCCAGTGACCGTCCTATCCAGCATCGATGATGAGCGTGTCGTATTCTGTTGGTCGAGCTGGTGATCATACCTCAAGACCAATACAGACTGATCTTGGTCTGATATACATGGTTCGGCATCCAAGTAAACCTCCAGTCCCATCACTGCTGCCGACGCAGGGATCGGCCGATCTTCTGGCCCTCTGTAGCTTTATTTGAACCCTGCCTGGGTTTCTTCTGGATTTCACTTTCGACGATTGCCAATCGACCAAAAATGTCGGCCAGATCATTGCGTATCGTTTCATTCCAGGTGGCTTGGTCCTGCGATGAGCGCTCAATAGACCTGCGGAGACTGTTAGCGCTTTACATTGTCACTCAAGATGGATCACAACTGACCGCATCCGGTTATCTAGTCTAGATGTTGTTAGCAGGCCAATCATGATTATGTGCTTGATAGGATTGTACTTACTCCGTCAGGCATTCCAGGCCAACCGAATTGCCATCTCCGGAAAGCTGAGTCTTCCCGCGTGGTTCCAAGTCCGCTTGGTGTCCAAACCCACTCTTCCGCTGTCGCACAGCTTCTTGCTCACTCTCATCGGTCGAGGTGCTATTGTCCTGGTTGCCAGAGTCGTGTTCCTCCTGAAAGGATGAATTGTCCTCTGTGGTATCGCCTGTAGCTGATCTGGATGGACTACCAGTATCCTCAGACTCGGAGGACGACAAGGACAATGCACGTTGCAATCGGCTTCGAAAGTTCTGTCGTCGAGGAGCGTGCGAGACTTTTCGAATTCCGCCCATACTTGGGTCTGACTTACGCTGGGGTGAGGAGTGGTCCTAGTTCTGGTTTTCTGTGATAGGAGGAGGCGCTCGGGTTTTATAGCATGTTGTATTGCGGGATCAGGATTGACTGTTTGCTTGCTCGCAATTGAGGAGGGGTTCGCAAGTGCACGCATTTTTCATTCCTACTTTCTGCCCGTAGATATCTATTTCTGAATCTGCACATTTTTTAACAATGACTCACTAAGAGGCGGATCAGACAATAGAATTCAACAATTGTTGAAACAATGGGGAATTGTCAACAAGAACGGGCTCTTGTGGCCGCGTTCAACGTTGTTGATTCTCAACGAACGTAGCGCATCAAAAAGTGAGGGTTTTTTGGTCTTCAGAACTTTGAACTGGTACGAGTAGTGAGAGTCTGATACGGGCTCTCTAGGCTAGGCCAAAGCTCATAACACACTATAACTTTTTAAACTCAACAACCTTACACCTTCCAAATCACTTTCTGCTGTTTTGTTCACCCGTTTTCGGCTACTTTCGCAACTTGCCCGAGCATCACCATGTCCCAACGTAGCGCACATGGCTGGCCAGAATGGGAAGAGGAAAATCTTCTCCCATGGTTGGATGCCCATCTGGAGCTGTCGTGGAAAGCCCTCTCCGACGCATATTATGAAGACTATCAGGTGCATCGAAGCGTTGAATCTTTACGAGGGAAAAAGTACCATATTCTGCGGAAGCAGAGTCGCACTGGTGCCAAATCTCCCCCAAATCCAGGCAAACCAAAACGAGCCGTTGCCGTACGACGCTCCGTGGTCGATAGCGCTTCACAGTCGAGTCTTTCGGCCAAGACCCCTACGCAAAGGAACATCGACAAATGGTTCCAAACAATTCTAGCGGCCGACCCTAACCAGCCTGATGACAGAAAAACGCCAACACTGACGAACCCAATTTCAGGTACGAAACACTTGATCGTCTCATATTACATGCTGACCCTTTGCCACAGACCGCTTGACGCCAGCATGGCTTCCGTGCCGGCCTAAAAGAACACGGTCGTCATCCTGGAGGTGGGACTATGTGCATCGTGTCTGTGCCGATAGGAAGCTGAGATACCGGCGAACAGAGCGTGCACCTTAGCAGCATTCATCGGCTGGATCGCTACATAGCGATGTCCAAGGAACAGTGGCCAACTATCTTGATAAACTAGTCCTAGTGCATGTTCCTATATCAAAGGCTATGATCACCAATGAAGCCTCAGCATGAGGAATATAAGCGTAGTTGTATATCTTTCCATGTATTCCGTAGAGGAAGTAGCAATCGCCCTTCTTCGGAATGACAATAATAGAGGATGTCCCAAAGTCAAATGACTCGAACACGATGGTGGTGCCCTTGGAACAGGTCCGCCTACACATTTTCATCCTTGTCATGCAGAACCAGGAGGATTTCATCGGAGTGTTATGTGACCCGGGAAGTACTGCGGACAGCGTATAAGGATTCACGATACTATGAGTGTTCCCGTAGGGAGACAGGACATGGTAGCAAGGGGGCTCTGGGAAAATGGAAATACGGCATTCTTGTTGGCTCAAGGTAATACGTCTGCTTGGATTTGATAGGGTCGATGGTCGAAAGCAGGGTAATCTTTGGGGTGAAGCGTACGATTTGTTTTGACCTACACCCAAGTCAGGAGGAAATTAGTTTGACAGAGACCGTGGAATCACGAGCGCAGCTGACGATCATCAGCGGAACCGCA